TCCCCAGCTGCCTAGGAAAAAAGAGAGGCCTTCAAGCATACGAGGAAGCTGAGTAAATCTGGCTAGAGTGGAATAGTTAACTATTTAGCCAATGAACAGTTTATTTGCTGTCATTGGATACTGACATTTAAGTGCCAGTTTTAATTGCCATAAGTGTTCCCAGAGTGAGGGACCAGTGTTTGTTAAAACAATAACTTTGAAAAAAATAATAAGTAAGATATCTTTGTTTCCTGGGGTACTTGAGGATACTCACAGCAATTTTCTTGGTGTTGCAACGCATTGCAAGTGTCTGCATTACTTTTTGTTGGGGAACTGTGGGATAGGTGCTTTGGATTCCTACAACTGAATGATATAGGAGCAATTTCACAGGGATGCTACCTAATTATTTTACCAGAAATATTTTACAGGACTGCTGTTTAGCTGCAACACTTGGCCCTGAAATTGTGTAGCAAAGAAAACTCCTTACCAGAGACAGGGTGTTACTTAAAATGTATTTGCGACCATGATGGCACGTTCTGTGGAACCTAAGGACCTGTGTACTCAGAGTGAGTACACCTAAAGAAAAGTCTTATCAGTTCAAATTAAAAAAAGAAGGGAATGGGGCAGTAATGGCCTACCTGACCCACCTCTTTGATCTGAAGAACACTGCAGTATAAAGGTCCATGGCAGCTGGTAGAGGCAACTGCAAACTTTTCTGTACTTAAAATGAAGCTCATTAATTGCTAGAGCCACAGCAGATGTGAAACTGTGTAGTGCTAGTGAAAGTGGCAGAGCTGCATGCAGTGGTTGGTAACTTTTAAAGTAGCGGGCTGGAACAACCCAGCTCAGGTTGGAGATGGGCTGGCACTTTGGAGCTGGCTACTGCTGCTTCTCAGTGCCTGGCCATGGACCAGGCAAAGCTTCCCAGTGCCTGCCACTGTATGGTTTACCGTATTTCCAGTTTCAAGAAAGTGGACACCTGTTGGTGGGGGTAATCTGATTGTGGGTGGGGTGGCAGTGATATGCCCATGCCCTACCCCTGCCCTTCACTCCAAAGCCGTAACCCCCCCAGCCCTGCTGCTGTCCCTCACTCCTAACCCACAGTACCCCTCCCCCTAGACTATGCTGGTTCCCCTCACTCCCAACCTGCAGCCCCCGCCTTCCCCATCTCTGCTGATACCCCTTACTTCTGACCTGCAGCTCTCTGGCCCTGCTTGTGTACTGCACTCCTGACCCACAGTCCTCTGCCCCCCTGGTGCCCCTTACTCCCAAGCCACAGCTCCCACCCAGCCCTGCTGATGCCCCTCACTCTTGACCTGCAGCCCCTTGCTGCCCCCCAGCCCTGCTGGTGCCCCTTATTCCTGACTTGCAGCCTCCTGCCCCCCAGCCCTGCTGCCCACGTATCTCCCTGCTGCCCCCAAAGAACCTGTGCACCCCCTTGACCAGTGGAGGGGCAGGCACCTCTCCCCCTTGCCCACCTTATTGCAGCCCCAACACTGCAAGGTGCCTGCCCCACCCCCTGCCCATCCACACACGTATCCACCCATGACCATCCCTAGCCCTGGCCCTCCAGCCTCTGCCCCCACACACTTACCTGCCTGCAGGGGTGGGTACGCAGATGCACGTGATGGCCCAGCTTCTGGTTGCCCTTCCTGTTCTCCCCAGCCCCAAGCAGCTCCTTGCTGGGGCAAGTCAGAAAGTGCTGGGAAAAACTTTGATGCTGAGCGAAGGCAAAGCAAAATCCCAGACATTTGTTGATTTTTTTTTTTTTTTTTTTAACTGTTGGACAGAGGTGGGAGGACCCAAAAAGGGACATGTCTGGGAAAACCTGGACATATGGAACCCTAGGTAAAGTCTCCTAGCACCTGGCTTCAGCATGGATTAAACCCCTGCTGCCTGAACACTACCATAGCCCTCTGGCTTCCTGGGCTAGACCCAGCCCATGAGCTGTAAGTTGCTGATCCCTAAAGTAGTGCATTAATTTCTGACTTTTTTCCCTGCCATGAACTGTTTTCTATAATTTTCCTATAGTGAAAAGCAGCAATCACCCTCCATTCCTACTTTTCTAGCTGTGAACAAGCTTCCTGTATAGGGAAAAACCAAAATGTCCAGCAGTATTCTCTCAGTATTTTTACGCTTGTATAACTCCAGTGATCAACGAATTTACTTCTGATTTACAGTGCTGTGATAGAATCAGGCTCCTGCAACCCTAATGGGACCATAGGACCACCAATTGGAAATATCCCCTTATTGGGGCAGGGAAAGCATATGCAGAGATTCGGAGGTTTACTGAGGCTTCGTTTCACCAAGAGAAGCAGAGACCTCATTAAACTTCTGGAGAAAGGGCGGAGGGAGGAAGGGGGGAAGGTGAAAGAGGGAGGTCTGTTAGAAGCTAAGGCCTTGTTGAGCCAAGGTTTTGCTGAAACCTTAGCAAGGGAGTGTCAGGGGCACAAAGTTTCTTAGTCCTTCCAATAGTATCCCAAGCAGAACACAAGGGAGATGGGATTTAAGAGACATCCCAGAAAAAGGAACTTTTATGTCGCAGAAGTTTCCAAAAGAAAGATTTGTTGCTTGGGTTTTAATCTTTTTTTTACATCCAGGTCTTGCAAAGTATCACCAACAGGTTGAAGAAGAGAGGTGGGAGTGTGTGAAAAGAATGATTTCTTAAGTTTACTTATTAATAACCCAGAAGCAGCATCTATGGCACAGACATTCAAAAAGCCCATGGAGGAATTGATCCAAGTTACACAGGTTTTTGTAAGCGGCTGTGGTGAGATCAATAGCAAACAGAGTACATGTTTGCCCTTCAGTGAGGGTGGCACACAGGCTGCCTGTACTGGCTAAGGTCAGCAAGTCAAGGGCACTCCTGCATGCCTCCCAGTAGACCCCATAGGCTCCCTGGACTGCTGGAGGCTGCCTAGCACAGTGGCGTGCCTGCCCCCACCCTCCTGATCAGCTGCCAGGCACAGTCTGCATCAGTCCGTGCCCCACCTGCTCCTAAAGTTTCCAGAGGTCTCTGCCTGGTGCCCCAACTTGGATGCTCAGTGTCCCTCCCTCAGCCCTTCTGCCCCTAGTAGCTGTGGGCCAAAAATACCTTGCAGCACCCCAGGTGCCCATGGACTGGGTACCTGTGGGCAGTGGCCAAGCCATGGAGGTCACAGGGTTGCCTCCGTGCAGACACAGTCCCAGTATTCTGCCCCCAGCCACCCTGACTCACCAGAGGGAGACTGATTGCACTGGATCCTGCTCAGGAGGGCACGGGGGGATCTATTTTAGGGTCTTGGTAGCAAGGTGTCTGGCTCTGGCCACTGAGATGTGGTGTGCAGGAGCCAGGGTTGTGGTCCATGGGACTATGCCTGCACATGGGGCTCCCTGGATGGGTGTGCAGAAGCCCGGGTTGTGATCTGTGGGGTTGTGCCCAAGCATGGGGGTTCTCCTGGACTCAGTGTCAGGTCTGTATGTGCATCATACGGTGCTTTGTGATGGTGTGTAGGGGACAAAAGTGCCCTAGGCTCATGCAGGGGACACAAATGCCTCCTTTTCCCCCACCCCTCACTGCCTGCAACTGCAGGCTGGAAGTCAGAGACAGGGCTGTGGATAGAGTCTGTGCCAACTCAGCTTTGGAGGGAGGGTGGGGCAGTTACTGAGCCCTTGGTCAAAGCAGTCAAGCACAGGACAAGTGCTAGTGCATCTGGCTGTGAAGGGAGAGTTTCAGGGGACCATAAAGGGGCCTGGGATGCCAGAGGACAGCAGTTTAACTTGAATTTATAGGGGATCTGGTACAGAAGTTTGATTTTGGCTAGAGCAGTAAATCAATTTTAGTTTCAATGCACATCTATCCAGGTCTATCTTAGACCAGGTTCTGTCATTTTTGGACCAGTCTGTGTGAGCTAAACTTCTGTACAGTTACAGGTTTAGATTGATTTGATGAATTTAGATTGATGTATAATATCTATATCTGGCCTATATGTTATAGCATTGCCTTAAACAGTTTAGTATTGCTTAACTGTACAGAATATAATCTTGGAACTTGTTTTTTTCCCCTCACTCCTTTGAAGTCAATTAAATTAATCGTAATAGTGTTTACATCATTAAGGTGAAGCTAAGACACTATAACTTTATCTATACTAGTGTCCATATTACAGTATGGTGCGAGTCTAACTGCATTGTGAACACTAACCTAGACAATACTCCAGGTTCTCCCCCACTCCATGTATCATGAAGCCTGCTTTAGCAGGTTTCCATGACTTGCTAGTAAAAATCCTTAGGTTCTAGCTGCCTTGTTTAAGAGTAGTTGTGCTGCTACTGTAATATGGGAATCGGTGTTTTAACTGCCATCTTATCTTTAAGATCTCTAATCTGATGGGGCAGGCTGGCACTTTAGAGACCAACTGGTTCAGAGAGGCATAAACTTGTCATGGCATCAAAGTTAGGCTGTAGTTCACAAAACTCATGCCTCCTGGAGCCAGTTAGTTGCTAAAGTGCTGCTATGCTTTGCCTTCTGCCTGACAGCCAATTACCCCTCTCTAGCTTGTTGATGGAGAAATAGGTCCATAAATAAAGGTCTAAGCTGTTTTAGTAATAAAATCTAGTTAGTGTTTTTAATAGCTAGTCCCATCTACATGTAGCTTTGTTCATCTGCTGGGTATGACCCCTGCCAGTTAAGAGGAAGATAGTGAAAGTAGACAAAAGAAAACCCAACATTGATGTTAAGCTTTCCTTAATTTTGAAAACATGAGGCCTTCTTTATTCAAATCAAACTTCCAATTTTGGTGTCATTCTAAGAGCTTTAATGCCAGCCTTATGTATTGCTTGTAAACTTCTAACAGCCTGCTGCCTGACATTACCTATTCCCAGTGTGCCATCCCTTTCTTCTTCCCTGTCCATCTTTCATCACTGGATAGTCTCTCATCTCTAGGTTATTTATATACAGATTACAAGCAAATCAAATTGTTGGAAAAGTGTGCATATGCATGTGCCCACACACACACACACACACACACCCCCCCCCCACAAAAGCCTTGTATCAAAATAATTTATTATAAACAAGTATTCAAAAAGACAACTTCACTGAAGTTTGTCTGTCTTCGTGACATACAGGAGTGTGTTCAACACAGCCTTAGTCTAACATAACATCATAACAATTCGTTTGAATAGGCCAAATTCTGCCAGTTCACCTCACGTATCACTGCAGTGACAGAATTTGGTCCTCTATACTTAGCAACTCGGCACGTTCTGACACAAGATGTAAATGCATCCCCCTCTATCTATCTGGATTATGCTGTGACAGTGGTATTCATGTCTAGAAGTCACATGGCAGGTCTGAAGCATTTATTTGTATTGGGAAGTCTTTGATCAGCTGAACCAGTATTAAGAAATAGTGTGTGATGATAATATACCACTGGTTGTTGCTTAGAAAAAAATAAATAGGTAACTAATTAAACTGCTCAACACTAGTCTAAATTCCCAGAAATGTTTGATTACGCAGGGATGTCTCAGAGCTTGCTTCCTCATACAACAAAGGCAGATTTAAACCTGACCTACAGAATCAGGGTCTGACAATACTCGGTGCTTCAATTAATGCAAGCTTTTTTACTGCACTGGAAAATGTAGCCGTCCTGGCAACTGGCCAACAACTTCACTTTCTCAGTCTTTGGCAGCCAACATCACTATTTGCCACTCAACTCTAAGCTGCTAGAGTCAATATTTTTGTCCGTATTTTCCGTTATATCTGGGCAACCTGCTGTATATTCAAGTATTTTCATCTTTCAGGTCTGAAGTTGCCAGGTTAGGTGGACTTCTCTTCATTAACACCTGAAGCAGAGTTTTCCTCTTCCCCTTCCTTCAGAGTTCATGTTCCTTGGGGCTCCTTGGTAATCAGTGGCTTTTTACACAGTTCTTGGTAGAATTCAGACTCCAAAAATCGTGGATAAGAGTTATTCTCCATCAAGCTGTAGACTCTTTTCTGTGCTGCACTGAAGCAGGTGTGGTTAGCTTCCTGAATATTCTGGGCAATCAGGTTCTTGGTCTGAAAGTCTATGTTTATCTGCAGAGAATGAAGGAAAAAAATTACTGAATGTTCAATTCAAGCAAATATGATAGTACCACAAAATTCATTTTACACAAAAATGAGGATGTTGTTTCTTTAATGCCAAGGTCTGATATTGCAGCCTCGAGTTAACGTATTTGCCTCCTCAATGAAGTTGCAGAATGAGACCCATATTTCTTTAAGAAGGAATAGTTTTTGAAATGTACTTTACAATCAGTGAAGTGGAAGGTGATGCCTCATTGTGGTGATGACATGCATACGTTGCAGGTATTTAACAGAGCACTGCTGATTTACCTTAGCTGAGCATCCGACTCAGAAGGCAATGCCAGCATGGCTTGGGAAATTATGAATATATGAGGGCGCTAATGTCTGCATTTGGTTGCTTATCAAGAATGCACACAGTGTAATCTGGATACTAAAACTTAAGCCCCCCCCTAAAAACATGCTGAGGGTAAATGGAGGAAGAGCAGGGAGGGGATGGATTTCAGAGAACGTTGGAGTTGTGCTCAATAATGATGTGCAATTTATGCCCCCCTCCTTTTTAAGCTGTTTTTTTACCTCCTTGGGAGCCTCCTTTTCAATGAAGTCATTGAAGATCTTTTTTGCCTTGGATGTCAGCTTTTGTGGTGACTTTGTTTTCTTGAAGTCTTCACACGCTAGCCAGAAATCGATGTTCTCTTCGCAGAACTCTGATTTCAAAAAAGCTCGGAAGGCTGCAAGACCATCTGTGTTGCAAAAAAAATAAAACAAACTCAGAAAGGGGTATGAGTTGTAAGCAAGCCAGGAATTTCACATTTATCAACAGCTCATCATATCTTTTCCCCAGCCTAACATCTGCTGCTAGTTTTTTGCTCTATTTCTTTTAAAGCTGTTACGGCATGCAATTGCCTCTCTGCATATATACAAACAATTATTAATCTCTGCAACAGCTTGTTGGGCTTCATTTTTTTTTTTTTTTTTAGTGAAACCATAAGACAAAAAAACCCAATTTAAACTCAACATATTTAAAAATAAAACAAAGCACCCTCCCTGCCAAAAAAACATTGCTAGATCTTTAAAACAGACATTATACAATTCCATTCTTGAGAGGAGAGCTTGTATATTCACTTCTAGGTGGGAGTAAATATTTATGACAGAGCTATAAACTACTGGAAGATGTTTGTAAGGAAAAGGCTGATTCAAAGTTTACTGGAGCAAATGCTGATCTAATTAGTCTTTTTTTGCTCATTTGGTAAGTGGTTTCTTTTGCAGAGACTGCAGTAAAACCCAAAGAGTAATAAACTGCCATTGATTCACTGTTGCGGAATCAAGCCCAAAATACATAAATTTAACAATTTATCGTGGATAGGAATCCCTCTTGTATACAAGCAGCACAAAGCATGTACCATTTGGGTTGAGGAAAATACTGTCATGTATTAGCATTTTGCTTGGAGCAAGATGTTAGAGCTATGCGTTAGGGTCTGATTCATCCTCTACTACAATCAATTGTGACATTCAGTAGACTCTTATTGTTAAGGGTTAATTGTCAATTGATAAGAATTGGTGCATGAGCAAAGCTTGCTGAATGCAGAAACTAAGTATGGTGTGAAAGGATGGCTCTTTTTTGCATTTATGCAGTATGTTCCTGCAAAGCTAGAGTGAAATACAGGGCCAGCTAAAAATACTGGGAGATGACAAAGATTAGGGCTACAGCAAGAAATAAAGATTTTGCAGTCAGAAACGTTTCTCATGAGAAGTTTTCTTATGATTTTTTTAGGTACATGCAGACATTTTATAAAAAGGACATGCTAGGGCTTAGATATTCATGCATTCACAAAGTTGTTCAATGAGCAATTTAGAATCTGGATGTGCACTGAAGACCAGGACTTATTCTTACTTGTGACAGTCTTTCCTAAAAACTACAGGGAGATGGCAATCTTGTAAATAAAAGGTTGCTCTATCTTCCTTCAAGACTGACTTACATTTGTTAGTTAGAAGTTCATCAAAAGCTTCTGACCACAGCTGGGCTTCTTCAGGAGAAGGCCTGTATAAAGAGAGAGAGAGACAATGTTAGATGGTTTTGTTCCTTTCATGTTTAAAACATCTGCGATTCATTTGAGTGAAATCTGAATCTTTAAGTTACCTGAAGTAAGCATGTTGTTTTCCCTTTTTCTTGGGCTTTGTTTTGCGAGAAGTGGAAGAATTTTGCAGGAAATAGCTCAATCTTGTTTTCCAATCTTTAACGCTAAAAAATAAGAAAATACTATATTAAATAAACAGTTCATTAAAAACAAAACAAAACAAAAACATGTTGTTACATCTTCACAATTTTTTACCTGAGCTAGGAAAGAGGATTGCAAAATTTTTCATTAGTGTTTCATGCCAGTTTTGCCAGCCCAGCAGCTGTGGGACCAGATTCCACATCTTTAATTTCCATTTCAGAAAGGTATGACTCCTATTTCATGGAGCACAAAGGTTCACTGCTAAGGTGAGCAGACCAGCCCCTATCCTGTGACAGGACAATGACTAACTGTTACTAAGGCATCTCTGAATAGTGAAACAAACAGAGGTGTGTTTTTGAACATGACACAATATAGCATGTTGACCAGGACTCAGTCTTTCCATGATCAATGGGAATTTTAGCCTGTCAGAGACTAAAATGGGAATTAAGTCTCAGGTGTACTGTTCTTAGAAGAACTTTTTATTATAAATAAATTTAATTTAGAGATTTGCTCTCTCAGTCTGAGGGCCAATATTTGGACTCAGAGAATCCCAAATGATCTCTTAAGAGGCTAGGCTATTTTAGGGCCACACTATGAAATCTGTAGACCAGCAAAAAAGAGTAAAGCTGCAGCACGGAATGATTCACAGACCTTTCCATGACATGGGGAACTTCACAACAGCCTGTTCCTTACAGTTTAAATATCATAGGTCTCATCAGATAATGCAAACAATCAAGTCAATGCAAGCTTTTCAGAGATGCTTTGTTTTGGGATAGTGGGTCCCTGCAGCATTTTCAACTCCTTATACCCTGTATGCAGCACAGGATTATAGGAGGACATCACAACCTCACTGTTTCTAGGCACAACAACGATATCTGCATTCATTTCCCCATTCAAACATGCACCAGACCCACCCAGCCATCACCTTTCTCAGCAAAAGTTCAGCACACACAAGCACTTAGCCGCTCTGGGCTTCTACAGTTTGGGCTTCCCTAAATCCCCTGTGACATCCAATACATAAAATACCCCATTCTGTCCTTGCCCTCGTACTTGCATCAGAGCAGGAAGCATTTTTTGTTTTAAAACAGACCACCAAGGCTGTGTAAATGCCCTATTTAAATGTAAGTGTCACTAATGCCCAAATCTGATAGATAAATCGACCGATCCATCTACCAGATGTGTGTGTGTGTGTATGTGTGTGTACACACTATTTATAGATGCCTATGTAAACACACAAATAAATATACATGTGTACACACACATAGCCATATGCATCTATTAGCAGATATACGTGTACAGATGCCTATGTCTATAGAGGTTTATTTCCAGACGATATGTATACACACACACACACACACACACACACACACACACACACACACACACAAATATGCATATACATACACACACCTCTACATGGATCTATTCATAGATCCCCATGTCTATAGATGCCTATTTACAGATCAAAGGCTTTTTCCAACTGAGAGGCACACTCAAATCCCGATCCTGAAAGCTGCAGGTAGCTCTGCAGGGACCTGGGCAAGGACAGGCGTACAGCTCATATCAACTCACATCGTTCTCTTCATCTTCCCTTTCTTCTCTTCTTTGCTGCCACCAGTCCGCTCCATTTGTGCGCAGTTGTGCTGGAGAGCAAAGAACACGGCACTCTGCATGCTAAGAACTCCGGGGCGTCTCGGGCCAGGCGGGCGCTGCGAGCGCGGGGCAGCGGCGGCCTTTATAGAGAACGGCGGGGCGGGGCTGCTCTGGGCCCCGCCTCCGCGCGGCGCCGATTTGCTCGTGGAAAGAACAGCGCGCGCGGGCTCGTGTGTCACCGCCGGCCGGGCGCGCACGTGGGGAGCCGCGCTGACGCAGTGTCCCTCCGGCTCCGGGCAATCGCTGGCCAAAAAAAAAAAAAGAAGAAAGAAACCAGCGATTGCTGTAATCGCCCGCCAGCAGCTGCCAGGAGAACCGAGCGCTTCTGTTTTGGTTATAGCCAGAAGGAAAGCGCGCACGCACACGCGCATAGCTGGCTATTTGGCTGTCCATCTAGGGACACACACATATACGGCGTATACACACACATCTATCTGTCTGTGTATCATCTACAGACACACACATACCTATCTATCTACAGTCATATCTATCTATCTATCTATCTACAGACACATGGACACTGATACAGTATACACACATATCTATCTATATACATGCACAGACATGCACACATATGGTTTATATATATATTCTTATATATATACACACACACACATACACACATGCATATACATACATACATATCTATCTGCAGACACATGGACACAGATACAGCATACACATATCTATATACATACACAGACATGCACACATATGGTGTGTATATATATATATATATATACACACACACACACACACATGCATGCATATCTATTTATCTACAAACACGGACACAGATACAGTACACACACATATCTATCTATATACATACACAGATGTGCACACATATATATACACGCATGCATATACATATATACATATCTATTTAGCTATCTAAAGACACACAGACACAGATACAGTATACACACATATCTATCTATCTATCTATCTATCTACATACATGGACACGTGGTGACACGTAGGGGGTGCATGGGGTTGCGCGTGCACCCCTTGAGAGTGCTGGTGTACCCCTCTGCAAGCACCGGCCGAGGAGTGGAGCTCCGTGGCGCTCCCAGAAGCGGCCGTAGCCACTTCCAGATGCAGCCTCAGCAATTGGCTGTCTTGCGATCAGCCATGGGGGGACTCCTCCTCCCTGGTCAGCGGGACTGGCCATGGGGGGATCCCCCCCACCTACTGGGGGGCATGTGCCCCCCCGAGTAAGGCAGCACCAGTCGCCCATGTATATACACACACGTATACATACAGAACGCGTCTACATGTGCGCCCTACTGCGCAGTAGGTACTGTGCAGTCATTTAGTACTTGCTTTAGCACAGTACTAAATGACTGTGCCGTTTCTGCCAGTACTGCACAGCCCTGGCGGCACACAGGTCATTGCTACTGTGCATTAGCAGTGGCATCATGATTAGTGCCCACTGACAATATGTCGCCTTAGTGACGAGTTATGTTGCCGTAGCTTATCGCTATGATGATGTAGTGTCTTGTGTAGAAACCCCTGCCCCCCACCACACACGGACACACACATATAAACACACATACATATATAATGTACTGGATGTCATTGGGATTTGGGAGAGAATATCTGCATTGTAGAAACCCAAAGCAGCTAAATTCTTGTCTTTGTTGAGCTTGCTGAGAAATGATATATATATTTAGTAGGTGTGTGCTCACTTGTATATAGATATATATTTGGTAGGTGTGTGCACAGAAAGCTGGTGGGGGGGAAGGGGTGCTGCACATTTGAAGGCACCTGATCAATGCTTTGGCACCTTTTCTCACATTCTGGGAAGGTCAATGGATAATAATGTAAGAGCTGTTGTGCTCATCAGCCTAGCTCCTCTTCCCTCCCAAAAAGAAAACAGTCCTAAAAAGGATAATTCAGACTAATAATTATGTTCTCTCTTTGCAATAATATCTTAATGATAATGCTAAGATTGCTTTAGCATTTGCTATTTATTGTACTCTGCAGCAAACAGTTTGGAACAATGGAATCTTGGTAGCGTTCGAGAATTCATTTTTTTGTGTGTTAACTAAGCAAAGTCTTGTATTTCTCTTCAGTTTATTTGTGTGTCTGGTAAGGAGATGTACCAGGTTTTGCACAGAATTATTTACATTCCAAACATGATCCCTTTTGTGCTAGTGTTTTACAGGAAATTCTGCCTTTCGCAACCAGTTTTGCACTTGGAAAATGTTGTACAACCTGTGCTTGTTCTTACGCTAAAATCTGCCTGGAAATTTTTAAAGGCATTTAATTTAATAAAGGAATTTTCCATTGACCTTCGCTGAATGTGAGAAAAGGTGCCAAAGCATTAATCTGGTGCCTTCAAATGTGCAGCACCCCTTCCCCCCCACCATATTGACATCTCAAGGGAAAGGACTGAGTCTCTCTCCTGCCTGGTGCTAGGTTTACTTTCAGCTCAACTTAATAGACCAGTGGTTCTCAACCCCTTTAGACTCAAGGCACTATTCAGAAATGCCAGTTTTAGCTTTCATTCATTTCTTGACTACAGAAAAACAATAGAGCAATTCTTCTGTTGCAAAGAGCTCAGAAAACCCACAACAGATTAGGGTGTTGTTTTTTTTTTTGATCCTATAGATTCCTATTTTAAACCTCTGGGTTTTTCTTGTGAACCATACATAGATGCTAGTATTGCACAGAACTCTTATAAGATTTTCATGGCACTCAAGGGTCCAGGATCCTGGTCCAGGGTCACTGGGCTTTTTAAACATTTAAACTATTTAAAGACTCAAACGGTTTTCATTTTTGCTGAAGTCATTCCTTGGAGTGTGCACAGCTCATGAAAAAGAAGAAATGAGAACTATAAATGCAGGCAGCCTTTCAAAAGAAAGCTACATAAAATTAAAGTATTCACTACTTGGTAGTTTTTCTTTCCCTGATTATGTACGCTATTTTTTTCCGCCTTAAACTGTATGAACAGTTACACTTTTCTAACTCTTTGGCAAGTAGAAATCGTGTGTATTGCTGCCATATGAAACGGAATTTGTTTATTTCTTTGTCTAAGCCTTTAGCTATAATTTGAGGATTTATGTGCTATTTCCCAACAGATTCAAGTGCTTGACGGGGCAGCAACTTGTCCACGGCATTCAGATTTGGAATACATTTCTATTTCTTCTCTATCCTTACAGTTGCTTGCACTACTGAACTGCCCTGAAGAGCGCAGTGTCTAGCAGGGACTGGTCTGAGATGGCCATACGGATTGTATTCATTGTGATCAGTAAGATCTAAGGGTGTAGTCACAGCAGTTTTTGGCACTTTTATGCACAGTTTGGAATAGAGTGTAGCCTGACTGTCTATTAAGATACCACCTGGCTGTGGTATGGCTAAGCAGCTGCTTGAGAGACTAGAATCACTTAAGTATGTGCATAATGCTTGGTAAGTCCCAAAATTTTAATGGGAGAAAAACCATGGTGGAAAAAGGGACCTTCCATATTTTTAATCCAGTGATTTAGGCACATGCCAAGGGAGCCACAGACCCAAGTCCTTATCCCCTTTCACCCAAAGCAGGATTTGAAACTGCACCTCCTGCTCCTCAGCAAAGTGGTCTAAACACCAGGCTACAGGCTAGGCATTACCCAGAGCACTCTTCGGCCCTCTTGAAGTTAACCCACTGAGGACTGTGGTTCTGTTGCTTGCTCCAGAAAACAGGAGTCCCACTTTTTTAAGTTGAACCCCAACTCCTACTTGTAGAAATTATGAAATTCAAGGTGCATAGGGCCAACTAGAAGGGGAGGGCTGGAAAGTGCTCTGAGTGATACCAAGCCAGTGGTTTAGAGCACTATGCTGGGAAGTGGGAGATGGTGTTCAAACCCCATGTAAGCAAGGGTAATTTGGAATCTGAGCCTGCTGCTCTATGGACAGTTGCCCTAACCACTAGGCTATTGGACTAAAACGTAGAAGGGCCATTCTTCTCCTTCATTTTACTTGCAGCAGGCATGTGCACAGGGTTGATTCTCTTCTACCTAGGAGGGAAACAGATTTCCAAAATGTGTTGAAGTGGGGGTATCTAGTAAATACTATCTGTCGCTGTAAGTGTAATACCTCAAAGTTGAGACAAATATAACTTCTAGACATCCACAGAACTCTTTCTCCCATTGTGCATCAAGCAAAGCTATGGAGAAGCACTTAGCAGAAGCTGGACTCTACAGAAAAATCAATTGCATTTTTTTCTAACTTGTTAAAAATTTCTAACAAAAATACTTTTCTGTTACCCACTATATTTTTCTGGCATGGTGCATTAAGTTTCGGCCAGAAAAATATGGTTTCGTTCCTCTAATTTTCTCAAGCTTCTCTGAATGAGTATCAGATAATCTGACTTGGGCATTATTTTCACTAGCTTCTTTTGAGAAATCTCACATCATTGCATTAACATTAGTGGAGCAATGGGGGAGCACGAATGTAGTAGGTAGGGTTTGGGGCTGTTGACCTTTCTATCAATTCTGTCTAGCCCTGTTCTAAGTAGGAATGAGATGTGGAAATACCCTTGCTGAAAGCTACATCAATGGAAGATTTCCCGCATAGACACACAGCCCACGTGATTTATAAAGCTGTGCTTACTTGACTCCAAACATTTTAAATCCTCACTTGAGAGTCACAAGGTCAGTAGCCCTGTGTTGCTGTAAATGATTTGATGGTAGCCTGCCAGAAGCAGTTGAGCAACTTGCAAGACTCTCATGGCTAAGGCAGCACCCGCACATGTGAAACTCTTACAGAACACAGCCCATTATTAGGGATGGGCAAACTGGTTTTGTTTAAAATAAGAACACACATGAAACTAAGCCCTTGGCCTTACTTAAATTAGGCCATATTCAGGGTAGTCCATGTGAGGGGAATCTTCTTTTTAGTGACTACTCTTATCCCACAGCTCCAGTCCCAGAACACCAGAGAGATTCCATTCTTTCCCCAAACCTACAGTAGCTTTTCCTTGTTCCCCACCCTCCCCACACTTATGCAACTTTCTGAAGTTTGTCTCATATTCAAACCCTCTTGATCCCTGTGCCTTGAAAACTGGC